GTTCACACCTGTAATCCCAGCACTTTGGGAGGCCAAAGCAGAAGGATGTCTTGAGCCCACGAGTTTGAAACCAGCCTGGGCAACATAGTGAGACCTCAGTTCAAAAAATAATAAAATTAGCCAGATGTGGTAGTGTATGCCTGTGATCCTAGCTACTCAGGAGGCTGAGGTGGGAGGATTGTTTGAGCCCAGGCAGCTAGAACTGCAGTGAGCTAGAGACGGTGACACTGCACTCCAATCTTGGCAACAGAGCAAGGTCCCACCTAAAACAAATCCAAAGAAGCAGCTAAATTATTGTTGAGGTATGTTCTTCTGTATTGCCTAAAATAAATACACATTTCTTAAAATCACCAGTGCAATGCTTCATTTCTGTATTTGTGGCAATTTTGAAGTCAATCCTAATGATAGAGTTCCATCTTCAGCTAGAGGTACAGAAGGTGGCTATAGTGAATTTTTTAGAATTCTTAGAAACAGTCATCAAATTGGCCAGGTGCAGTGGGTCACGCCTGTAATACCAGCATGTTAGGAGGCCGAGATGGGCGGATCACCTGAGATCACAAGTTCAAGGACCAGCCTGGCCAACATGGTGAAACCTTGTCTCTACTAAAAATACAAAAATTAACTGCGTTTGGTGGCACACGTCTGTAATCCCAGCTACTTGGGAGGCTGAGGCATGAGAATTGTTTGAACCTGGGAGGTGGAGGTTGCAGTGAGCCAAGATCATGCCACTGCACTCCAGCCTGGGTGACAGAGCGTGACACCATCTCAAAAAAAAAAAAAAAAGAAAAAAGAAACAGCCATCAAATCATGGATAGGTCATTCATTAGCACTGCAGCTGTTAACCCCTTGGTGCTTCGTAAGGAGATTTGATGCTACACCAAATCTCACCACTTTGTATTTCAAGAAGTCAGTTTAATTCACCCTTCCCTGAAATCAGATCCTCTCAATCCAATGAGGCCTGTTATATCCTACTCCTTCCCAGTCCCATTTTGCTAAATCCCTCCCTCTTCAAGCCTCCAGCCAAATTCCCCTTCTCACCAACAGCATCTGCTCCCAGCTTCTGCAGCAGACGAGATTCTGCCACAGTCTCAAAGCTGGGGCCTGCCAGCATCACATAGGTGCCTTCCTGTAGCTCACGTTGCTCCCCCATTTGTTTCCACATACTGAGAGCCCTCTGCCTCATAGTCCGGTCGTAGGCATCAGACATGGCAGGGAAACGAACTCCAAACCTAGGACACAGGTTGAATTATCTCACATAAATGGAATTTTAAAAATTCTCCCAAGGCTCCTAGAGAAGTTCTTAAATCCTACCCATCTGAAAAAAACAGAGTAAGATACATACCTTTCATCATTGGGCCCTCTGAGAGGGTTCTGACCACTGAAACCAGGTAGGTTGATATGGTCACGGATCAGCATGATATCTCCAACCTCAAACTCGGGATTCAGCCCTCCTGCTGCATTGGTGACCACCAGGGTGTCCACACCCAGAAGGTGGAAAACCCTCACTGGGAATGTCACCTTCGAAGCAAAAGGTCAGAAAAAATTTTTACAAAATTTCATCAATCCAGCTACATGGAAATGCATGATATACATCGTGAAAGAAAAGGAAAGAGGGCACCAAAAATCCACCTAGCCCAGATAGCTAGGTAGTGAAAGAGGCTAGATAGTTCTCTCCTGCCTCTTCCAGATCCAACCAGCCTATTCCCCTGATTTACCTTCCAGAGCGAGTACCCTTCATACATATGGAACCTGCCCTGCATTATCACACAGGCTCTGCCATTCAGGAACCCAAACACCAGTCGGCCAACATGACCTGGCACTGTATACAAAAAAGAAAGAGAAATGAATAGGATTATACTCTCATGCAACACATATCCATTGAGCACCTACTGTGAGTTACTCGGTCTGCTCAAAATGTTAGGATATAATTAAGTAAAAGACTCATTATTATCTCTGCTTTCAGAAAGTTTAAGTCTGGTGGGAGAACCAGGCATTACTCATAATTATACAAATACAACCTGAGATTAGAGATATGGGGTAAGGATGTTCAGCATGAACATACAAAGTAGGAAGGGCTTTTTAAAGAAATTTCAAGATAATACATGCCATACTGCCAGAGAGTAAAAAGGGAGTAAAAAAAAGTAGATACTCAGAAATGGAAGGTTCAATACCACATGCTGTCACTTATAAGTGGGAACCAAATGTATACATATGGACCTACAGAAATAATAGACACTGGGGACTCGGAAGTGAGAAAGTGGGAGGGGGATGAGGGATGAGAAATTACCTAATGAGTACAATGTTCACTGCTCAGGTGATGGTTACACTAAAGCACAGACTTCACCACCATGCAGTATATCCATATAACAAAACTTCATTGTACCCCTGTAAATCTATAAAAATTAAAATAAAAAATAGGCCAGGTGAGGTGCCTCACGACTGTAATCTCAGCACTTTGGGAGGCCAAGACAGGTGGATCAAGAGGTCAGGAGTTTAAGACCACCCTGGCCAACATGGTGAAAACCCATCTCTACTAAAAATACAAAAATTAGCCAGGTGTGGTGGCACACGCCTGTAATCCCAGCTACTCGGGAGGCTGAGGTGGGAGAATCACTTGAACTTGGGAGGCGGAGGTTGCAGTGAGCCGAGATCACACCACTGCACTTGAGCCTGGGTAACAGAGTGAGACTCCTTTTCAAAAAAAAAAAAGTGAATGCAGTAATTACAGACCTCTTCAAATTTTTCAAAGTTCTCAAAACATGTATTCTTATATATTGCCCTAACTTAATTACCTACCTCCTCAGTCCAGCAAGCAAGCTCATAGTATACTTACTCTGGCTTCCTAAAGAAGAGGCTACTGAACTAGGGGAAAAGAATTTGAACACATGCAAGTCTCTTTCCTTATGACCCATAGAACAGTCCTACGGGAACACATGTCCATGTAGGGGTGCGTGGGAGCGCAAAGATAACTCCCCACAGACATAACAGCCATTATTACCACTCCCTTATCTGGCAATCTCTTCTAATAGATGGTCAACCTATCCCTTAGGGAATGGGAGAGGGACCAGAACCAAGAGGAAGAGCTGAGGAATTCTCAAAGATAGAGGAGCTTAGGCAAAAAAAACCAAAATGAAACAAAAACAGTAATAAAGTTGACATAGGAAACCCAAGTGGAGTATAAAAAATAAACATGTTGATAAGCTTAAAAAAATTAACCCCCTTATCGTTTAATGCAGTGCCCTTCTCACTGGGGGTAGGAGTGGCCAATGGAGCCAACGTCACTACTATCTCCCTTAAAGAAGTATGCCCTTCATACACCCTCTCTTAATGTTTCCCACACCTTCCCCCTCTGCTCTCCCAGTCTTGTTTCAAAGGGTTTAAAAAAATAGCTATTAAAAGTCTTTTCCTGCTGTCAGGTCTTAAAAAAAATTCTTAACTCTCCAGGGAAAAGAAGAAAGAAATCTTAAAAATTAATAAATAAACCAACAGAAGTTAGTTATTTGAGAAATTAAGTAAACCAAATAAATGACCCTTGCCCTTTACTTGGCCCCTGTCACCTGGCCCTCTTCTAAGTCTTAGTCTCAGTCCACTGACACACACATGCCCTGTCTCTTGTGGGATGTCTGCTAGAGGAATCTCCTGAGTCATTCTGACTCACGGTGGGCTTTTCTCCTCTCTTACAACATTTGTCTTCAGTGAAATGCTAGGTCAAGGAGTAGAAACGTTGGCCTCCTTGGTTGTGTCCCACAGAATCCCAATAACATCCCTCAGTCCCAT